GCTTGGAGACCCATCTAACTAAAAGTCTGCATACTTGTAAGCTCTCATAATGTGTAGTTCCAGAAATTATCCATACCTCCCTCATGGAAGGGATTTTTTCTAAGCACCCTTACCCCTACCACACCCCTTTGGCAATTCCAATCGAGCCTCGTACATTTCTTTAAATGTTTTGGTCTTATGGAACCCCCCACCCCCAAGGAAATTCCAATCCCTTCTGGGGAGGTAGGGGGAGTATGGATATTTTCTGGCAATGTGTTGGTGTCTCCAAAGTCAATGTAACACAATCCTTACTGATTGTTAAACTTAAAAGGTTGTTACTTTGTGCTTCACGTTTGTAGGTATGACACAGTGAAAGGCAGTGATTGGCTAGGTGATCAGGATGCTATTCACTACATGACTGAAGAGGCACCCAAGTCAGTGATTGAGGTCTGTACTCAACTACCTTTCTGCACCCAAATTCACTATTACTGTAGCTGATTAAAAGCCATGTCTACTGTCCTTACAATCCAGTCACCAGTGTTACCTCATGATATGTGTGCCCAGTATTAATTTTGTGAACAGGTTCTATCATACACTGTAATGTCCACAGAGACATTGTGTATAAATCAAATTACTGTATGGGTAAGCCATTAGGAGCAATATATCAAATAATAATGTTAGGTCATTATATTTAAAACTGTTGGTCAGGAGCGATTTGTGCCCATGATTAAAGTTCTAAAGAAGGAGTAAAACAGATCTAAAAAAATGTTAAAACTGAATTTTTGACCACCTTCTGCTGTCTTCTTCAGAGAAATGTACTCTACAAGAGTCACAGAAAGCAAATATGTAACAAAGATATCATTGTTCCTTACCCCATAGGGAGGAAACCAGTAATATATATTTGTTTTTGAGTGTTATCATGGTTGTTCATTGCAGCTTGAAAATTATGGAATGCCATTCAGTCGCACAGAGAAAGGTGAAATTTATCAACGTGCATTTGGTGGTCAGAGTTACAATTATGGCAAGGGTGGTCAGGCACACAGATGTTGTGCTGTTGCTGACAGAACAGGCCACTCTCTGCTTCACACTTTGTACGGACAGGTTAGTGAGTAGTGAGCAAGTTCCTACACTACTTGTGTATACCACTGCACCAGGTGTTTCCAAAAGAACCAGTCCTGCACCAGGCTAGTTGACTGGCTGTGAGGATGATTTTTTTTCTACCTGGTTTGACCATCTAATGAAGTTTTTCTTATAAAGAACTTCAGTTTAAAAAGTTTTGCCTGCCTGTGAAAAACCAATTGCCTTCCTAATGGAAACATTAATGTAACCCCAGCTGCTGTTCACAACTGAATATAACTGGCATGGGCTCAAGTTTTCTATTTGTGAGTAGTCAAGAGGATGCAGCTCATTTGACTGTTGTTCATAGAAAACAAGGTGAATAGTGTGATTGTTTTAGTATGGGTTCAGAACCAAACTGTATCATGAACTAGCACCTCTAGCTCTATCAGTAGAAGTGGGCAAAAAGCTCATAAGGTGCGTGACAATATGATGAAAAAGTAATTCAAGGCTGGAAAAGCTCTTTAAAGTGTCAAATCAATAGTTCATGTAAACTAGATGTTTTAGTGTTAGCCCTCAGTTGTTATGTTGAACAGGAGGCTAAGCCCAAAACGTGTAGTTTACACAATCTGCATTAAATGTAGTTTGTGTAAACTACACGTTCTGGGCTTTGATGAGCTCTTTAAAGTTTCTTATAAATTTTATAAGACACAAAGAGTTCATCAACCCAACAGTCTGCCTCATTTTCTGCCAATAATAGTCAACTAATGAATAGAGTTAACTTTTTCTTGTAGTTATAGAGTTCTCATTTTGTATAAATTATTGCTAATGTTGGATTCAGGTGATAACTTTAGTTACAGAATTGTTTCTCTGTTAGCCATGTCAACTTTTCAGCTAAAACCAATATCATTATTGCGTTTCAGTCCTTACGATACAACACAGAGTATTTTGTGGAGTATTTTGCTTTGGATCTTCTCATGGACAAAGGAAAGTGCATTGGTGTGATTGCATTGTGTCTTGAGGATGGCTCACTACACAGATTCAGGGCAAAGAACACTGTCATAGCAACAGGGTAAGTAATAATGATGATTATAAGTATTTTATTATCTTAAATTGTTTTGTAGTGTATTCATTTGAGATGTGGATTGTGGCATTTCCACTGCTTTCAACATTCATATACATGTACAAGTACAGTATTTATTTTTATCAGATGATGAGGTTGACTGATCACATGGTAACACTGTACATGAAGTGGATAAATAAATAATACATTGCACGTTGCTAAATTTCATGTTCATTGCATAATTGTATAGAAAAAACAAAATACTGTACAATGTAGATAATGAATCAGATTGAAAAACCTCAGAAATTGTGGAAATACAGTAAATGTTTTTGATTTCTTTTTTGATTTCTTAAATCAATAATTTATTGTTGTGTATTGTTATAGTGGATACGGTCGGGCATATTTCTCCTGCACATCAGCACACACTTGCACTGGAGATGGAACAGCTATGGTAGCAAGAGCGGGCCTCCCTAACCAGGACATGGAATTTGTCCAGTTTCATCCAACAGGTACTGTTATGTTGCGATCAAATAAAACATGCCATTCCGAGGTTCTTTAAAATGTGCCATACTCATCAAAGGTTACCATGTCTAACAACACAAGAGATTTGTGCATCATTTTGTTGAGACAGCAAAGATTTTTACAAAGCCTGAAAATGCAAAACTAAACAAACACTGTGTTGTTCACTTGTACTTGTTTCTGAAGAATCATGTCTGCATTCTATCTTATCAATTGTAAGACATACATATTTTTATTGCAGGAATTTATGGGGCTGGTTGTCTAATTACTGAAGGAAGCAGAGGAGAGGGAGGCTATCTAATCAACAGTGAGGTATTGTGTGCAGTTGCTTATCATAGGCAATAGATTGTATTCTTTTAGATGCTATGCATACAGCTGGAAGTACATCTACATGTTTGTGATGTGCACTGTTTGGGAATCTCTCTTT